CGGTGTATGGTGCTACCGTGCTACTTGGCTTCCGGGATGTGGACCGCCTGATCCCCACTGAGCCCGGTTGGAGACTGTTGCGAGAGTGGAGTAGTTCCAGGACGGGATTAGAAAGGAGACAATAGGACGACGTAATGTACGCTTTAATCGTCTAATAACTGTAGTACATGAGCTGAAAATAGAGTGAGAATCACGAGATAATGGGTTATGCAAAGGTATGGGTTATATAGTCATGACATTCTCCCCGCCTTGGAATAAGTGTGTACTTTGCGGAGAAAGGATGTAAAAAAATAAAAGGCTGTAATAGTTACATGGAGTCGTTTACGGCTCTCCGTTGCATAGATTATATGGGTGAGTGCGCTGTTGTCGGATAAGAATGTCCAAGTGATTTCCTGGATCTGCACTAGAATGGGATGGCGAGGCATCGTTAATAGGCAAGAGTTCCGTTTCTGAGCAACCACGGTGGATTGTTGGTGTTGCGTGAGGCTCCCCTTGTTCGGCGATATGTATTGGTTCCTGTTCTGTGTCGGATGTCATGTCGTTGCCTTTGGGAGCCAAGCGGCGCAAGGATACGGTTTCGTGTTTGCCATCTGGACGAACTATGTGGGCGTACTGTGGATTACAAGAGACGAGTTCCACTTCCTCTACCAGAGGGTCATATTTAGAGACTCGATCATTGCGTTTTAAAAGGATTGGCCCAGGGACAGTAAGCCAGGTAGGTAGGGAGGCACCGTTGGCTGATCGTCGTGTGAACGGCATAAAACGTTCGTGTGGGGTACAGTTGATACTAGTACATAACAGGGATCTGATACAGTGAAGAGCATCAAGGAGGACAGCCTCCCAATGTGTGACAGGCAAGCCGCGCGATTTTAGAGCCAGGCAGATGGTCTTCCAAAGGGTACCATTAAGTCGTTCAACCTGACCATTACATTGTGGATTATATGCAGCGGTGTGACTACTGGCAACGCCTTTATCGAACAAAAATTGTTTGAGTTCAGTTGATATGAATGCAGAACCGCGATCTGAGTGAATATAAGCAGGCATACCAAACAGTGAAAACAGTTGACTCAAACAACGAATTACAGTGGAAGAGGACGTATCGGCGCAGGGATAAGCAAAAGGGAATCGAGAATACTCGTCAACGATTGTTAAGAGGTACTTATTACGAGTGTTTGAGGGAAGTGGGCCTTTAAAGTCGATACTAAGGCGTTCGAACGGTTGTGTGGCTTTGATAAGCTGGCCACGAAAGGTGTCACAAAATTTTGGTTTGAGCTCGGAGCAAGTGGAACAGTTGGACACCACACGTCGGATATCGCTGACTGAAAAAGGAAGATTCTTAGAACGAACAAAATGTGCAAATCTCGTGACCCCGGGATGGCATAATATGTTGTGAAGCTCTTCAAGTTTTTCCGTCCCAGTAATGTTGGCACAAAGGTTACGAGATAGGGTATCAGCAACGCGGTTATCTGTTCCAGGTCTATAGACGACGTCGTAGTTGTACCCTGCCAACTCGATTTTCCACCGTTCAATCTTGTCGTTCTTTATTTTACTTTTCTGTTGGTTCCCATACATAAAGGCTACCGAACGTTGATCCGTAATCAATTTAAAATGTCTCCCGAGGAGATAGTGGCGCCATTTGCGGATCGCTTCAACTATAGCATATGCTTCTTTTTCAACAGCAGAATGATTTTTCTCGCTTGCAGTCAAGGTTCTGGAGAAAAAGGCGACCGGCCGGCTACCCTGGCTCAGGGATGCACCAATAGCGATGTCGGACGCATCAGTTTCAACAACGAGAGGAATATTGTAGTCGACAGTAACTACCATCGCATTTTCTAGTTCGTGTTTAAGGTTCTCAAATGCTGTTCGGGCATTCTCCGGGAGCGGAAATATTTTGTTTTTAACCAATGGATGAATTTTGTCAGAGAACGCCGGTATCCACTGTGAATAGTAGGCAAACAAACCAACGGCTCTTTGCTGCGATTTCCCGTTCTCTGGAAGTGGGAGTTCTCTTATGGGGCGCATGCGTTCTGGGTCAGGTCTTATAATACCTTTGGAGACCTTGTAACCTAAGAGAGTAATCTCTTCAGTTGCGAAGCTGCTTTTCGTATCGTTCAAAGTAATATTGTATGTTTTTGCGACATCGAGAAAATGCCTAAGATTACGGTCATGTTCATCTCTCGTTTTGCCGCATATAGTGACGTTATCGATATAAGCGAATGTGTCTTTTACCTGTTCGGCTTTGATTATATTGTTCAGCGTTCGCTGAAAACACGCGACCCCGTTTGTCACTCCAAAAGGAATGCGCCGAAACTGGTATAGGTTCCCCCCAGCTTCGAACGCTGTGAATGGCTTGTCTGACTCGATTATTGGAACCTGATGATATGCACTCTGGAGATCCAGTGTGCTGTAGACGGTGTAGCGTGCGATGGTTTCAATCATTTGGTCGAGCCTTGGTAAAGGATAAGCGTCAAGGTAGGTGAAGCGATTGATTGTCTGGCTGTAGTCTATCACCATGCGTCTCTTGTGATTTGCATTGCGGGTAACGAGCACTTGTGCTCTCCACGGAGAATTTGATGGTTCGATTATGCCATCGGTAAGCATTTGGTCTACTTCCGTTTGTATGAATTGTTCATCTTCCGGTGTATGACGACGAGATTTTGTGGCGATCGGTTTGTAATTTGGAGCAAGATTGGTGAATAAGGATGGAGATTCCAGTTTTGCGGATGTTACGCCACATACAGTTAGGGTACCCCGTTGACCACCGAATGGAATTTCGACTTTATCATGTAACCCCAGAAAGTCATGTCCGAGAAGGACGTCTGCACAAAGGTTCGGTAATACACAAAGTCTGAAACGTTCGTATATAGCATCCTTGTACTGAATGGACACAAGGCAATAACCTTTGGTGGAACATGAATGTATCGTCGACGCCATTGTTATCACAGAGTCGTACGGAAATAGCTCCCAGTTATGAGTTTGCAGGATTGATGAAGAAACGAAACTTCTGGAGCTGCCGGTATCAATGAGAGCTCGGACAACAACGCCGTTGACCAAAATATCTGTTGTAGTTTTGGATAGGCAATTGGGAGCAGCAGCACAAAATAGCGAGGAGATTGAGGAGTCTTGAGCTGAACCCGCGTGATATTTCGAGGCTTTGGACCTACAGACACGTTGAAAATGTCCAATTTTTCCACAACTCTTGCACACTGATTCTTTAGCGGGACACTTATAACGAGGGTGCTTGGGGTTGCCACAAAAGTAACATGTTTGTTGTGTAGCGGCCGAAACTGTTGTTTCGGAATTAACAATGGGTAAAGGAGTAGATACCGAACAAGTAACGGGTTGTCTGTATACGTATGATTGTGACTGTTTTTGTGCAAGTTCGAGAGCTCGCGCGGCTTCATGGGCTTTGTCAAGGTCCAATTCATGCCACGTTAGCAGTTTCTCCCGAATGGTATTCGACTGCAATCCGGTTATCAGAGCATCCCGAACTGCTTCGTTTGTATGTTCCACAGCAGATACTGCTTTGAATTCACAGTCTTTAGCAAGCGATTTCAGTTTTTGAACGAATCGGTCGACATCTTGACCAGGTTCTTGTTTGTATGTGGCTAAAAGATGGCGTGCATACACGATATTTTTCGGGCGGATATAAAGTTTTTCCAACAAGGTTATCGCAGAATCGTAGTCGCTGCATTCTGAAGTCAAGTCATACACTGTATCGTCGATGTGACGAATGAGAGTTTCCAATTTATTTAGACCTTCAGGTTTGATTGAGTTAATGTATGAAAGTACGGCAAAGGTATGGGTTATATAGTCATGACAGAGACACTGCAAGCTATGCCTGCCAACCGATGCTGGTGGCATCTTTGTATTCAGTTTTTATCCAGATTGCTTGAATGAGTTTCTGGAAGTGTGGACACCTCGGAACGATTGTAGTGAGCTAGCACTAAACCGCTCAGCTGTAACACCGGTGCCTAACTGCCATGCTACCCGAAGAAAGCACGAGGGATGCGATTATGCCAGGTTGCCCAAGCCTAGGCAGAGGAAATTGAGACGTAGAGGTCGGGTTCGAACCACGGACCTTCCTGTCAGTATATTCGCTGCCTAATCATTTGAGCCACCTCTCCCGAGCTAACACTAAGTTCTTTCCCCGTTCACTTTATTCTTTTCTTCACAATTGTTCAAATAGTCGATCTGATCTCTGATAGTTTCGCCGGCAAGACTTCCGACGACCAGTCGGGCGAATCACGTGGGACAGTCTGTGAGCGTTTCCAGTTTTTTTAGGGGCTGCCATTTTGGACTTTCGAGTCCATCAGGCCTCCCGGTCTGCAAGTTAACTCAGTTATGGTTGGGTTGGGGTTGCTGTCAGAAAGAATCTGTCGCCGGGCCTTCAGCAAAGCCATGATCCTAGTGCAGGTCCAATTTCTGGATGATGCTGACTGAGTTGTATCACGAACAAGATTTTCATCAGCCGTTGATGTCAGACTTCGGACCATCTTGTAGGTGTTCCAGGAACCGGTTCTGAAGGTTTCACTTGACTTCCGGGTCTATTGGCTTCTTAGTGGCCAAGCGAAATGTACCTGTTTTGTGTAGACATGAAAAGGTCAACGAAAAACAGCAGTGGATAAGTGCATGGTTGAAGTCCAAGTAAGTATTTCCGTAGAGATGGCAGACAATAATCGACCCTCATCACTGCTAACTGACGGCAACCCTCGACCTGTAGGGCTAGATGACTACGTTGGTCAGTCCTCTAACCATTAGCCAACCTGGTATGAGGGAGTCGGACGAAAGTGGCCAAGCGAAATGTACCTGTTTTGTGTAGACATGAAAAGGTCAACGAAAAACAGCAGTGGATAAGTGCATGGTTGAAGTCCAAGTAAGTATTTCCGTAGAGATGGCAGACAATAATCGACCCTCATCACTGCTAACTGACGGCAACCCTCGACCTGTAGGGCTAGATGACTACGTTGGTCAGTCCTCTAACCATTAGCCAACCTGGTATGAGGGACTACGTCGGACGAATACCACTCATTATAGCTCAATTGGACGCGGAAGTACGAATCGTCACATCACGGTCAGTTGCAGCGTTTTCGGGACGACAGCAAGGAGGCTTTCGCCCTGTTAGGGAATGCATCGATCCCACCCTATTTGCGATTATTATTATTATTATTATTTACGTGTAATACCTGAGGTTTCGTACTGCCGACCAATATGTGCGTTTTTCTTCGACTTCGAAGGAGCTCCTGATTCCGTCCATTTTGAGCTTCAGGGCGTTTTTTGACGAGTCGTATTGTTCATGCCGGTAGCGAATTGTGTTGCGAGTATATTTGTTCAGTCTCGATGAAAGTTTACTGATCACCCATCAGGCAACTTCTGTGCCAGTGGTTACGTTTTGGTGATTCCCAGCAATCGAAAAGCAGCTGTGCTGTAAGAGGTACTAGCGTTGGTCTGACAAACAAGCATGACTTCGGTCGTTCGGCTTATCCTTCTTCAAGGTAATTAGTGCAAAGCAGTACATTTTGCATGTTCTTCACTTCATCGGGCTCGTGTATGGCACACCACGCTTTAGGAATATCAGTGTTCTTTCTCGATCCCAGTAGCATTGTGTGAATTAGTCGTTGTTGGCGATGATACTTCAACGGAACATTCACTTTTTAAGGTCTGGTGTTATGGAATTGTCCCGGGTTGGGGATCTTAGGCTGTTTATATTTTCCCTATAAGAGAATTTTTTTACTCTGTTTCCAGGTTGGAAGTGTGTTCATATAGTGGGTTCAAGGTGTATCCTGGGCACGGAAAAAGAGCGATCCGGCTAGATGGACGCGGTTTCTACTTCATTAACTCAAAGTGTGAGCGATCACATTACTTGAAGCGAAACCCCCGCGAGATTTGTTGGACAGTTTTGTATCGCCGCAAAAACAAGAAAGGTCTCAGCGAAGAACAGAGTAAGAAGCGTACCAAGCGCTCCACGAAGACTACGCGTGCAATTGCTGGTGCAAGCCTCGCGGAAATCATGGCTAAGCGTAATCAGAAACCAGAGGTCCGAAAAGCTATGCGTGACCAGGCCATCAGGTATGTTATTTTTTCTATACCTCACTGTTTTTAGAGCCGCTAAAGACAAACAACGACAAAAAGAGCTGGAAAAGAAAGCCAAGAAGATGGAGGCCAAGAAGAAGCCTGCCGCGGCACAACCAAAACAGAAGCCGACCAAAATAACCCAGAAAGCGGCACCTCGTGTGGGTGGCAAGCGGTGAACAATGTTGGATATAACTTAATAAAGGATGTCATTTGTATATTTCACTTTATTGCTTCTAAGTTCGGCTGGTCACGGTAACTTGATGTTCGGAAGCTGAGAACCATCCCTCATTCTTGAAGTACTGAGTGACTTGAGTTACTCACGTGGTGTTTGCGTACAGGCAAACGTTACGAACTGGAATTTCAACCCGCTTGAATTGTTAAGCGTATAGTTGTGCCTTCTTTCGGTTCATCGAAAAAAGCCGATAATCACGCATAGCAGTAGCGTTCTGCGGAACATCCGGTCCGTAAGCTGGCACCTTGGTAATTAAGGCGCCGCTTCTCAACCGTCGCCCAGAAAAATAAGCCAAAATAATTACCTTACCTCAAAAGATCTAATCCACGTTACAGCCTTCAAAGTCCGTACCTACCACAAGACAAAGGTGGACTCAACTGGACCATATGGCTATCAGTTACCGATTGAGAGCCTCAGTTGAGGATTGTCGTTCCTTCTGGGGTACACAACTTGACTCTGATCACGCCATCATGCTGGCCCGCTTAGCAATACGCGTGCCGAAAAATATCAGTTCTGTTCGTCAACTTCGACAAGTTTCAGTGGCTGAAGAGTGTCGACCTAATCTAGCTAGAAAGTTACAAGAAACGCCAAGTCATGTGGACGACGAAGATTGCTTGGAGGATGGATGGAGGCAAGTTAAAGAAGCAAGCTTTCAGAACTGTTTGTCTAGCCCATTGTTACGAATAGAATATCGATTCTGATTGAGCGCGAGAACAAGAATGAATAGCGCTTTACTTGTCTAAGAATAGAAGTACATAAGCTGAAAATGAAGGCGAATGCATGGTTAATACAAGACAATAATGTGAGCACAGAATATTCATGACATTCACCCTGGTCGTTGGATTGTGTGTAGAGGGATAAATTGGGTACAGGTATTGGATGAATGATTGTAAAAATCTAATGAGTAATAGTGAGTGTGGTTAGGCTTCTCGATTTCTTAAAACGTAGGGCCGTGTACGCTGCTGGAGCCTGGCTAAATCAGAGATGCTAGGGTCATATGTATCTGGAGATGCAGGTGCATTGCCGGGGCACGGGGGTGTGACTGAAGTACGATCAATATCATCTCCAATGTTATTGAGCGGAGGCGTGTGCAAGTCAGATAGAGGGGGTGCATGAACACCATTGTCTTCATTGGGTGAGGTACGCGTGGGATCGTTGACATGTGTGTGATCACCACAAGGAGCGAGATGGCGGACGGATACAGTGCTTTCTTTCCCGCCGGGAAAACGAACACGGGCGTAATGTGGATTGCAATTTATAAGTTGGACTTCCTCAACGACGGGCTCATACTTTGAGGCACGGTCAAATTTATTCAGCGAAACAGGCCTTGGAACAGTGAGCCAAGTTGGTATAGATAAACCACAGGATGACCGACGTTC